GCAAGGTCTGTGACGCGGCGAGTCAATGGAGTTGCCACCTGTCCTGGTTGGCCCCGGACAGTCCCGGGACTTGGCGCCTGTGATGGGGTGCGAGGGAGTTGACCCGTGCCGAGACCTGGTCACCCGGTCGGTGTTGTGTCGGACTTTGTTGCAGAGCACCGCGCAGTTGGCCCCACAGTGGACCAGGTGATCCCACATCATCATCATCATATATTTTAATTTGCAGAGCCCGAATTCATCCACGTTTAAGCAGAAGCCCGAGTGTAATATCACAGGCGTCGTTGTGGCCAGACCGACACCACCAACTTGAGACGTTCACTCGAGAACCCAGTGCCATCGGCTTGGGGACTCGGATTCGAACTCAGCTCCTGACAGCGTCGGTGGCCTAGGGTCCCCGACAGGGCCGCCACGAGGCCCCCCCCCCGCGTGAACGCGATCTGAGCGCAGCTGCGGGAGCCACGCATGGACCTGGGGACCAACTCAAAACTCGGGTGGGACGATCTGGGATTGCAGCTGCTCAAGCGGTATGGGGAGAGAGTGGGAGACCAGGGGAGAGAGTGGGAGACCAGGGGATAGAGGGGAGACCAGGGGAGAGAGGGGAAGACGAGGGGAGAGTGGGGGGATCAGGGGTGAGAGATCTCAGGGAGGAGAAAGAGAGAGAGATGGAGACCAGGAGACAGAGGGGGAGATCAGGGGGAAAGAGAGTGGTGCGGGGGAGTTATGGAAGAGAGGGGGGAGACCAGTGTGCAAGGAGAGAGAGAGATGGAGGTGGCAGAGAGAAGGGCGGCCTCGGTCTGAGGGCCGTGGTGCTTGTGCGCTTTGTCGCCATGTGAGCATGCCCTCTGACCTCACTCCGCCCAAAACCTGCAGCCAATCAGCTGAGTTAAGGGGCAGAGGTTTCCAAGGATGACCCCTGACCCCCTAGAGCTCCCTGCATTCCTGGCCTCTCCTCCCTCTCCTCCTCCTCTCGCCCCTCTCCCATCCTCCCAGCTCTGAGTGAATACTTGTCAATGCCCCCCCCCCGAGCGAGGGATGGGGGGAGGGGTGTCGAGGGGGGGGGGCTCATGATTCACTGCCCCTCTGGTGAATGGATAAATTGTCACGATTTCAGGGACCGACATTTTTGATTCATGAATCGATTTATTTCCTTGGCCTCGTCTTGTTTATATTGAGGGGCGGGGGGCGGGGGGCAGGGGGCGGGGGGCGGGTTGTAATTGCTCAGCCTCATTTGTAGACATGTGTTGGCCTAATTAGCCTAATCGTTAAACCGCGATCTCATTTGCATATAATTTGCACACTGCGTAACCAAAGTCAACAACATCGCACCAACAATCGTCATGGATCTGGCAATGGTGCTGGTGGTTAGTGTGGTGGTGGTGTTCCAGCGGTGGTAGTGTGGGGAGCGGTGGTGTAGCGGTTTGCTCGTTGTGCTAAGAACCCGGCAACCCGAGTTAGATTCCCGCTCACGGCCAAGAACAGTGACGGTACTGGGCCGCCTCTATGTCGACCCAGTCTCAAATGAGTACCTGGTGTAGTGTGTAAACATCGCCACTGGGGAGACAAAGGCGGCCGGGCGTGGTGCTGGCCACCCACCGCCTCGTGTGCCGGGCCGGCCTTCATAGGTGCTCGCTAACAGCACTTGCCCCTACAGTCTGTTAAGGCTATACGGGGGATCTTTGTCTTTGTGTAGGTCGATCTTGACACCGCTGGTACCAGCTGATGACTCGTCACAGCGGTGTCAAGATCGGCCTCTGTGGAGGAGGCTCGTGAAGGACGCTACTGGGCAGTTGGAGGCAGTCGCCATCCAGCAACAACGGAGGGCGGAGGAGCGACGCTCACAACAACGAGCGGAGCACCTGGCGGCTAAAACACAGCAAGTTGGCAGAGTAGGGGGGCACAGCTGATGCATCAGCCAGTCATCTCAGTCAGTCAACCCGTGGCACCTGCAGGGTCTGCCCCGTGACCTGCCAGCGAGCATGTCACGTGGCAATCAAAATGCACCTTGCCTGGCACAAGCGCAGTGGTAAACGGCGGTTGTTGTTATACAGTATCCGGTGGTGAGTGCGGTGGTGCTGGTGGTGTGGCTGTGAGTGTGTGTGGTGAGATGGCCAGAGTAGTGTGAGTGACTCGAGGTGGTGGTGATATGCCCGTCAATGATGAATGCGGTGTGGTTGCTGTGTTTATCGGAGAGTTGGTTGAAGGGGGGATGGAGGGTGGGGGGATGAAGGGGGAGGGGGGATGAAGGGGAGGGGTAACCGGATTAGGAACCATCTGTCCCACTCACATGGGCCCCTCCCCCCCTCACCCCCCCCCCCCCCCTTCTTTCCGCCTCAGCACTCGACGACTTTCCATCGAACTCTTCCTCCACCACTTCCACACTCCCAGGGCAGAGACGAGAATTCACCACTGAAGCCACCACCACCATCACCACCATCAGCAGCAGCAGTCAGCAGTCACCACCAAAAGCGCCCCCGGCCGTGTCGTCTTAACAGACCTTTGGGGCAAGTGCCGTTCGCGAGAGTGGATGTCCAGGCCGTTCACGAGCCAGCCTAGGAAGGGGTTGGGTGGCCACCCTCACGCCCACCCTCCAGTGGCGATGTTTACACACAGCACCAGGTACTGATTTGAGGCTGAGTCGACCTAAGAGAGGCCCAGGACCGGTTCAGATAATCGTCGTTGGTGTTGGCCGTGATCAGGAATCGAACTCGGGTCGCCGGGTTCGTAGGATAACGGGCGAATCGCTACACTGCACACAGCAACAACAATACCACCAGCATCAGTGCCGCCACCACTACAACAACTACCAGCACCACCACCATCGTCTCCACCATTTGCACCAGCACCACCACCACCTTTGATGTTCTTGTTCCACCATGCCCGTCCTGTCGCGTGCTTTATTGACTCACGAGATGTAAAGTCGAGCGATAAATAATAATTCCATGGCATCCCAACGGGACCGTACATTTGGGTTGTCACTTATAACTTGGCAACATTCCAGCGCTGAGAATGTGGCGTCCATCGTGGCTGTGATTGCGGGCACGGGAAATGTTTCTCGTGTGGATCATCATCAGCATCATCAGCATTATCAGCAGCATCAGCAGCATCAGCATGGTCAATCCACTGCCAAGCCACCACCACCAACTCTTACAATCCAGCGATGTAAAATAAACAATTTTTTAAGATTATTTTACCAGGTAAGGCTCACTGAGCTGACATGTCGCTCAGAAGCAACCTGGCTATCGCAAATGATAGGTCAGCGAAGTGGCTTATCACGTGGAAGTTTATAGCAGACAAATGTATAGCAACCAAACACTCTAAACCGTGATGTTGATTCTAAGTGTGGAGGGGGAAGCCGGAGGACCCGGAGACAATTCCACGGGACCACGGGGTGAGAGACACCGCAAACTCCAAATATACAGCAGCAGCAGCAGGCGTCAGGGTCGGGATCGAACCCACGACCTCCTGTATAACCAGGCGAGGTAGTTAACATCTCCTAGCCACGTAACAATGTAATGACTCACGCTTGTATTAGCAACACGCCTCCTTCACGTTTCTGCCTGTCCACCACCACCACCACCATCATCGTCGTCGTCATCGAGACGCAGGGCCATGGCGTGGTGGTGCTGCTGGACGGCAGCCTCTCCACAACAATAACAACAACAATAATGATACACAAATATATACCGTGTATATGTGTGTGCGTACTGCACGTGCATTTCTCGCACAACCTATTGGCCCCAGCAGCCTTCTGGGAGTGCATGCTTTCAGCAGAATTTATTATGCACGAGCAAGTGAGAGGAGAGGCGAGAGGGTGAGTAGGAGGCATCTGAGAGCGTAGGAGAAAGGGCAGGTGGGAGGCAAGATGAGATGGCAGGTGAGAAGAAAGGTGAGAGGGCAGGTGAGAGGGCAGGTGAGAGGGCAGGTTAGGGGGCAGGTGAGAGGGTGGATGAGAGCGCAGGTGAGAGGGCACGCTAGCGGACAGGTGATATGGCAGGTGAGAGGGTAGATGAAGGGGTAGATGAAAGGGAATGCTAGTGGACAGGTGAGAGGGCAGGTGAGAGGGTAATTGAAAGGGTAGATGAGAGGGCACGCTAGCGGACGGGTGATATGGCAGGTGAGATGGCAGGTGAGAGGGCAGGTGAGATGGCAGGTGAGAGGGCAGGTGAGAGGGCAGGTGAGAGGGTAGATAAAAGGGTAGATGAGAGGGCACGCTAGTGGACAGGTGAGAGGGTAGGTGAGTGGACAGGTGAGAGGGTAGGTGAGTGGACAGGTGAGAGGGTAGGTGAGTGGACAGGTGAGAGGGCAGGTGAGTGGACAGGTGAGAGGGTAGGTGAGTGGACAGGTGAGAGGGCAGGTACCATTGTCTCCTGGGATTCACAGAGCGGTGCCATCGGTGTCCAGGTCTCCCCCCGCCCCCACAGCTCTTCCCCCCTCCACCTTCCCCCCCCCGCGTCCCCCCCTCCACCCCACGTGTCGTCGCTGTGGTCCCAGGGGCGGAGTGCGGGAGACAAAGACGACTCAGAGCGCAGGGGGAGTGCGGGGGGGGTGAATTTGGTGCGGGGAGGGGAGGAAGGGGGCAGGGGGTGGAGGTGGGGGAGGGATGAGGCGGGGAGGAAGTGACGATGGTGCTGATGATGATGATGACGATGGTGCTGATGATGATGACAATGGTCCTGATGACGATGGTGCTGATGATGACGATGGTGCTGATGATGATGATGATGACGATGGTGCTGATGCTGATGATGCTGATGACGATGGTGCTGATGATGACGATGGTGCTGATGATGACGATGGTGCTGATGCTGATGACGATGGTGCTGATGATGATGACGATGGTGCTGATGATGATGACGATGGTGCTGATGCTGATGACGATGATGCTGATGACGATGGTGCTGATGATGATGATGACGATGGTGCTGATGCTGATGACGATGTTGTTGCTGATGCGTAATATGATTATGATGATAATAAATATGCTTATGATGTTGCTGCAGATGCTGCTACTGCTGATGATTAATAAGTGGATGATGCTGAGGACGAGGAGGAGAACGAGGAGGAGGACGAGGGGGCCGGGAGTGGGGGGCTGGAAGGTCGAGGGGACTCGGTCCCGCTCCGCTGCTCGCGTTGCCGTGGTGACGAGGAGAGCGAGGAGTTTGGGTGGACGAGGAGGAGGAGGAGGAGAGGGTGAAGGGGGGTGGGGTGAGGGGTGAGGGGCGAGGGGGGGAGGGGGCGAGGGGGATGGGAGCAGCTGTTTGGCTGCACGGCGGGTGGCGATGATGGACGGGAGAGGTTAATTTGTGAATAAACTTTTTGTCCATTTTCATTTTGCAATGGGTAATGCAATGACCACGTGTGTGTGTGTGCCAGTGGGTCAGTGTGTGTGTGTCAGTGGGGAGCGGTATTGTAGTGGTTAAGCGCGCTGCGCTCTGAAACCGACGACCCAAGTTGGATTTCCGCTCACGGCCAACACCAGTGGCGATTATATCAACCGTTTCTGGGTCTCCCCTAGGTCGACTCAGCCTGAAACCAGTACCTGGTGCGGTGTGTAAACATCGCCACTGGAGAGACAAAGGCGGCCGAGCGTGGTGCTGGCCACTCACCCCCGTGTGTGCCATGCCGGCCTCCATAGGTTCTACTGGCTAATAGCACTTGCCCCACCAGTCTGTAGAGACTATACGGGGGATCTTTGTGTGTGTTTCCACTTTATGTGGGCGAGCGGTGGTACAGTGGTTAGCGCACTGCACTAAAACCCCGGCGACCGCTCATGACATCTAAACCTGTTCTGGGCTTCCCTTTGGTCAACTCATCCTTAAAAGAGTACAGTGTGGTTGAGAAGGCCTTCATCCAGCGGTGCAATGACCAGTCCCTCCAGAAAAACGCGATTATGCGATCGCAAGATTCCACGCAAAATCAGCCAAAGTCCGCATATTTATGCGGGGGGCGCGTTTTTTCAAATACGCCGCACTTTCGCCGCATAAATTGCAGATTTCCACGCGCAAAATATGCGGGCTTGCATGATTTCATAATCCCCGCATTTTCGTTGCAAAAAGTCACATATATCTTAGCAGAAAGTTGAAAAATGTTGCGTTTACTTCACACAAGCGCAGCCATTTCCCCTGTTGCCATGGGAACGTTATGAAGTGTTAGAGGCTACGTAGTTAGTTTTATTCAGGAGTTTATGCAACTTTACAGTTGTAAGATTGCACTTTTTTGTTAGTAGTATGTAAATTTACATTACTGTAAGACTGTACTGTTACTGTATTGCTTACGTTACTGTGCACTGAAAACACTTATTTTAACAGAAGATGTCTGTTTTTGTATAGCTACCTCTGTAAAACAGGAAGCACACATTTTATTTTTTAATATTTTATTTATTCATTTTTACAGAAGTTGTAGCATATTCATTTTGTAAAGCTACAGAACTTGTTCGACTCAATGTTTTGTAAATTTGAGCCATCTGTTTGTTAAGGTCTGAAATAAAACAAGATGAGAACTTAAATATTCCCAGCACTTTCTGTGATGTAGTATGCTTGCTTATCATAGGAAGTAATAAGAAATGACTCTTTACATTAAAGTAGTAGCCTAGTGAATAGGGTGTTGGGGGAATCACTTTTTTTTCTCTTTTTCATCAAACCGCAGTTTTTGCACGTTCCCGCAATTTAATCGCAAAAAATTGCATAAATATCCCGCATATTCCATCGCATTTTTTAAGAAAACGTGCCGCATAATCAACGATTTTTGCCCGCAACAATTACCAAAAATCTCCGCGTTTTTCTGGAGGGACTGAATGACAATCGTGGCTCTGCGTCAACGCATCCATCATCGTGATCATCAGCCAAGTTGAATCCACTGCTGGATGAATGCCCTTCCCCCAGAGTGCGCCGTCACGTCTCACGACCCTGCGATGTAACAATCCACCCCGGCACCTCGTGCACGCGAAGAGATCTGCATCGCTCCATCTCCACGCGCGGACGTGCCTCTCGGAACGCGTTCCTCGTCTCGTTCACGGAGTGCTGCTGCAGAGCGAGGAGGAGGTTTTGTTGACGTCATCGGAGTCAGTCACGTGGCGCTGGGACGGGGGTTTCCCGCATTCGGCAGGCCGGGGATGTCGGTCGGTGTGGCTGCAACTTTTGAACGGGAGCAAGCAATCGACCACAAATTAAAAAGAAGTCGATTTTAACGTCAAAATTACATTACTATATTATATTTTTTTTATTTACCAACTAAGACCCCATTGAGCTGTACAACTCTTTTTTCAGAAGCGACCTGGCTAACACAAACGACAGCTCAACGAAGTGGCTCATCGTGATGTGGACATTTATTGCAGCCAAATACTCTAAACGCGTGACGATGATTCTAAATCTGGAGGGGAAAACCCGAAGGGCCCGGAGAAAACTCCACGCGACCCCGGCGAGAGAGGCACTCAAACTCCAGTTTCACACGTAGGCTTGTAATTAGTGCCGAAACGTCGAACTCGAATTGTAAATGTTGTGGGTCTACTCCCCAACACACCGGTGTTGCTGTACTCGTAACGAATTGCCATGTTTTGTTTAGGTGACAAACCTTACTAACTCGCCTTTTGCCCGTCCAAGGACGGGTGTTTTGCAGTAAATCTGAAACTTGCAAGCGAAAAGCAGACCGCGACGTGATATATTCATTGCATCAATTCGTGTGCAATTTGTACGGGCGCGGTGACACAGACTTACTTCATTTTAAGATTATAATCCCTTGTTCATCATCATTACGTCCATACAGTTACGGAGATCGCGTGACGTGAGGGTTCTGCCTTTGTAGTGAGGGTTGTAAGTTGACGCCGAGGAGGGGGGAGGAGGCGCCTCGCCCCCCCATGTGGAGTGACGTAAGCCGCTAATTATTATGAATGGCGGGGGGTGTCCATTTGGAGGACGTCACCTGCTCATGATTATTGATGAGGGGGGCTGTTCGATGTGGAGTGACGTCACGAGCGTTGCACACAGACAATCTTGGCTCATTCTAGTAGGTAATAATAATGGAGGGGGGGTGTCCATGTGGAGGACGTCACCTACTCATGAATATTAATGAGGGGGGCTGGTCGATGTGCAGTGACGTCACGAGCGTTAAGGACAGACATTGCTGGGTGATCATAGTAGTTATTTGCTGTGTCGGGTGGTGGCGGGTTTAACGACACATATATTTACGCGATCTAACCCAAGAACACCTCTATTATGGACGCAAACTCCAAATGTGTAACAGGCATCAGGGTCAGGATGGAACCCACGAATCTCCCTGTATACCAGGCGAGGTTGTTAACGATTAATACGTCGATGAATTATAATTATTATATTATTATAATTAATCGACTCATCGTTGTCCCAGTTCGAGCCAGCGTGCCCAGCCCTCCTGGTGACCGCCCCCTCCATCCCCGCACCCCTCGCTACTTCTCCCTCTTATCTGATCGCGAGGCCACAGATGCCTTCATTTATTAAAGGAGCCTCCCCCCCTCCTCCTCCCCTCGGCCCCCACCGCCACCCGCACCGAACAAGGGCCTCGTGGTCCCAGGCCGCCCCCCTCTGTGGAGGGCCGCCCAGGCCACTCGGCCCCCACCCCCATCCCCCACAACCCCTCCCCCTGCAATTTGTGGAGCGGGTTTCCATTGCGCCGTGTCGCACTGCCGCGCGTGTTCTGTCCGGCTGAATGTCCGACGTTTCGAGGCATGCAGCACGACCGCCGAAAACCTACGTACGTCGAGTTAGTGTCCTCATCCTGCGCGTGATCGCTGGTTTATTCTCATCATCATCAGCAGCAGCATCATCAGCAGCACCAGCATCAGCAGCAGCAGCATCATCAGCAGCAGCAGCCATGGCCAATCCACTGCTGGATGAAGGGCTCCTTCCCAGGAAGAAGACGCTGCCGTCTCTCGCGATCCTGGGATGAACCGATCCACGCGAACTGAATTCACGTGCCCCCTCGGCCGCCATCTGAAACGACTGAGTGCAATCAGAGCCTCTCCACGTCTCCCCAACAATCTCGATTCGACTCCGTGATCACTTCTACCGCATCCTCTCATCTCTACGACCTGCAGCCCATCGCAAGCAGTAAACATGCCAAGCCGGGCGTGTGGTCGTGGAAACGTTGCCTACCAACGTTAAACCAACGTCGGTGCGACGTTGGCGAGTGGTTGCTCTGGGTGTTTTCACTCTATCACCTGTTGAGTAGGAAAAAAACAATCAAAAGTTATTTGCCGTTCAAGTAGGTGCCGAGGCCGTGGAAATTTCACGTTTCTATGGCGGGGAAGAGTAAGACGAGTTTATCCCAACGTAAAACCACTGACGACTTTCCTACAAAGTGTTACCTCTTTTATCGACCCGGAGCGATGATGGGCTAAGTCAATACCCCCTCCCCCCCCATTCCCCATCCCACCCTGCCCACCCCGCCCACCCAGCCCACCCCGCCCACCCCGCCCACCCCACCCGTTGCTCTGGAGGTGTCGCCGTGGCGAGTCGTGGAGGCGACTCGAGGCTGTGGGTGTTGCAGTTGGGACAGGCGGCCGGGGGGTCGAGGGGCCACGATGCGAGCGATCGAGCCGCCAGCTCGTGACCCCCCCCCGCTGCCCCCCCCCCTGCTGCCCCCCTCCCCCACTGCCCCTCCCCTCGACACCGCCGCAACGTCGCGCCCGCTGCGCCGGTGACGCTGCCCATGCCGAGGGCAGCGTCACCGGCGGGTAGAGGGTGAGCGGTGCACTGGGCAGAGTTGGGGTGGCAGAGGGAGGTGGATTGGTGTCGTCGTCCCCCCCCCCCCCCCCCCCGAGTCGCCCCGAAGTCGCCCCGCGTCGCCGTAGGATCCTCCGCTGCCGTGGTTAAGAGCCCCAATTAAGGCGGCTGCCGCATAAGGAACTCATTGACCCCTGCCTCCCCGTGACCTCTTGACCTGGGACCGAGTTTAGGGGCTGTGGAGCCTCGCTCCGGGGTCAGGGAAGCGACGGACGGGGGCAGCCCCCCCCTCCCCCCATCACGCTCCGTGCTGTTTCAGATTCTTTTTAATCGCTTTATATTTTAATTGCTTTATATTTCGACCGTGTTGCTTGGGGGGGGCGGTGGCACAGTGGTTAGCGCACTGCAACTACAAACCCGTGGCAGAGGTGTTCAGTGCATCATGGAGTTCTCCATGACAATGCGGC